TGTGTGTGTGTGTGTGTGTGTGTGTGTGTGTGTGTGTGTGTGTGTGTGTAAAACTTTTTGTAAAAACTAAAATAGTTTCACTGACCTGAGCTGTACCCCAAAATCAATGTTACTTTGAGAAACAGAACTTAAATAAATAGGAACAAGACTTTACTACAGTTTTTGCTGCTGCACACAGAGTGGTCTCTCACTGATCTTTTTGTGTTGTTTGCACCACTGGACACATGGAAAGCAAGATGTGAATTAAAAGCAGAAATGAACCAGAGATTGCAGGACAAATCCAGTGTATAGTGACTGGTATCAAAAACCAGACCACAATCAATCATGTTACCTATTGTGCCTCTTTTTTAAAAACTCTTTTTCTATTTATCTGTTTTATCTGTTAGCTTTAGTCAAATGTGTTGTTGACACAGTCTGAAAAAAATCCCTGTGGAGGTAAATAAATAGTATTTKTTGACCGTTGAGTTCATGTTCTTTTATTTTTTGTGCAGTGTACTTTTAGTTTTTAATATTTTCATGAAAACACTGTGATGTGCCAGAGTAAGAAAAAACATGGTTAAATAATGATTTTATTGATTAGTTAAATTAAATTTGTTTTGATTAACATTAATGTGTGTTTTTGACATTACTTAGATTTAGCTTTCATGCATGGGAATTTAAATTTTTTAAGCAGCCTCACCTTTCCTCATTCTGCTGTAGATTTGAATATGTACACGGATTTTAGAAATGTATGATTTTATAAATTTTCCGATACTTTATAGGAAAAGTAGGCAGTTATTTATTTTAGGTGGGATTTGCAATGTCAAAATGTACAACCARTAATTGTTTTTGTATCTGTGATAAACACACTAGCTGATTAAACAGAATAGAGACTCAAATRTTTTTGATTGGGTTGTAAATCAGTGATCATCATGTGGTGGTTCCTCAGCCAAATCTGGCATATTAGAGGAAAAAATAGTCCTTGAGCAGATGATGTATTACTATAATATTATAAGCATTATTATAATGCTGTATACGTATGTCAATGGGATGAACGTGTTTTTTTGTTTACATGGCTTAATGCTTTTATTTCGAAAAACCGGAAAAGGAATCTGTTTAGCGGAAGCGAGTTAAACTTCCGGATATAATTTMTGTTTCGCGTATCCATAAATAATTTACTTTCCTGTACAGGAGCTTTCCTCGTCAGGTAACTTTGTCCTAATTAGTTTAGTATTTATTGACAACGTTAAAACAGTTGTTTAGCTAGCTAACGTTTTACGTCGGTGTCGTTGTAGAAACCTGTGTGTTTCTGGCAGCAAGTTAATTCAACAAAAAGCCTGCTCGGCTGGTGAGCGACAGCTCGGCGTTAGCTCAGAGGTAACACAAAAACAACCTGATGTATCAGATAACAGCTGGTTCACTGACTTCATCTGCGTTCTTTGTTTAATTTTTGAGCATCTTTTTGTGAAATGTGGACCGCATTGTTCTGGTGAATTTAGGTTAACAGGGCTGGATGTGTCCTGCGGTTGTTTACGTTGTGTTCATGTTCCGACCGTCTGACGTTTTGCTAATATGTTATTCAACATCCGTCGTGGTAGCTGTTGGCTAAAATCGCTTAAAAATGGTTAAATGTTTGACCTCTGTTTTACATCATAGGTCATTATTTGTTGTATTTTTACTGCAGCATAATCCTCTGATACAGTCAGGAAATAATTTATATTAAATAGTGAGCACATTAACACGTATCATTATGCTTTCAGTGCAAGAAGTCCTTAATTTTTTATAGTTTCGCTTCAAATCAGTCGGACTGATCTTGAGTGGTACTTCTTCAGTCTTAATGAAAATCTTTTAAGCTTTTCTTTGTCCACTTATTTCCCCCAACTCATTTTGAGTTGTGATTTATTTAAACTCTAATCTTACTGACTTGCAAGTCACTCTAACAAAATAATAAAAACATATTCTTAATTCATCACTTAGATTAAGGGAACTTTAATGTGAACGACACGTCAGTGTGAAGTGGATTATCAAACAAAGTGAGCTCTGAAACTGATCAATCTGAAAGATTTTGATTGAGAATTAGTTTCAAAATGCAACCTTTGTCTAAAAAACGTGCTAAAAATCACGAAAGCCTAAAWATAACTGCTCAACAACCCTTTTAAAAATGTTCTTTGAAGACAAAAAGGAAGGAAAGGAAATTATTTTCTTACTTAACAATGGGTGAGTTCCCTTCAGTGTAGAAGAATACAGAATAGATTGTATTCATTATAAACTTACAAACGATCATGTAATTCAGTTACAAGGCTTATGATTTATTTGTGTCGTTTAATAAGGTCAATCCTTTTCTACTTTTATGTGATGAAAGGGAGAATTAAAACTTGTAAACAATTCACTTTAAGTTTTTTTTTTGAGAATTAGTGTTTTGTTTATATCCCTGAAAAAAGAAAAAACAACAACAACATTGCACACTTGTCCTCTGCATTGAGATTACATTTGTGTAATTTTAAATCAGTTGTTAAATGTGTATTTACRTACAATTGATGCATTAATAGTCAGTGTGACAGTGAGGACATACTTGGTTAGGATCATTGACTGTTGTTTTGATTGTTCAGGAGGAAATTGTTGTGCACCATCTGAAGCACAGTACAGGCACTGTGAGTGGGTCATCAGGCAGTCTCCTTATGTCAGGCCGAAACGGGTCTGCCACTGATTCAGACTGCCGGATCTCTGAGGACTGCAGCGTCCCAGATGTTGAGCTGATGGAGCTCGGGCCACTGCTGGAGGAGGGAGGGGGCCGGCAGGTGCCATCCAAAAGTGTCCACCCAGAGGTAGGGCAGTGTGTCACCAAAACATCAAGAGAGAAGTCTTTGTAACTTTTCATCATCTCAKTAACAGCGATGCTTTGTGATCTCTTTAAAGGGAGCAGCAATGCTTTCTGAGGAAGATGATGATGAAGACGATGAGGTGGGAGAGGTTCTGACCTTACCTCTTCAGGCTCACCATGCTATGGAGAAAATGGAGGAGTTTGTACACAAGGTAATCAGGTTGTTTCAGTCGAATAGATATTTTAGACGGCACTAGAAGTCATAAGAAATTTCCGTAGACCAACATTTTTCATTACTAGGATTAACTATGGATGTGAGACTCATTATTCTGTAACAACTTATTAATACTACAAAACAAAACGAGATTGAAATAGGCCATAAAAATAGTTCTTACCATTTTTTTCATCATCAAAATAAACACTTTTCCTCTCTTGATAAAACATTAATTTAGGCTTATTCTGTTTTACTCTTTATAATCATCTCCACCTTTTTCCCACCTCAACTACCAAGTGTTTCAGTCTGTGCGTCTTTAAAGGGATCCACGATTAGTTGTAACATTAGAATTTATTTGATAAACATATTTTAACTGTAAAATAAAGACTAAAAATACTGTAGGATGTTTAGTTTTGTAAATTTTTAAAAATATATTTTAACACGGATGGAGCCATTTTATTTACACACAAAGCATTCTGGGTAAATGATGACGTGGATAGGTCCGCGGTGTGAGCGAGCTGTATCCACCCTGAAGGTTAATCTTGGACAATATCTGATGATCGACTCTTTTAAATGAAACCAGAGAGCGTTGACAGAGAGGAGAAGGTAGAAATGACTCAGTCTACAACTGAAAATGTAGATGGAGGACAACAGAGCTGCTTCATGGAAGAAGAACATCAGCTTAGCCTGTTAGCCTTTGCGCTAGCACTGACACTGTATTGCCTTATATGTATTAGCTCAGCACTAGCGTGACAAACAAGCTAAACTGAGGTCCTCCATCCATATTTTCAGTTGCAGGCTGAGTCACTTTTGTGTTCTCCTCTCTGTCATGTGGATGGAGGACCTCAGTGAYRAGAGGAGAATGTGTAGCACTGAGCTAATACATATACACGGTGATAGCATCGGGGCTAACACTAAAGCTAACAGGCTAAGCTGAGGTTCTTCTTCCATGAAGCAGCTCTGTTGTCCTCCATCCATATTTTCAGTTGTAGACTGAGTCATTTCTACCTTCTCCTCTCTGTCAACGCTCTCTGGTTTCATTTAAAAGAGTCGATCATCAGATATTGTCTAAGATTAACCTTCAGKGTGGATATAGCTCACTAGCAGCCTCGCACCGAGGACCTATCCATGTCATCATTTACCCAGAATGCTTTGTGTGTAAATAAAATGGCCCCGCCCATGTAATATATTTTTAAACTTTTAGTTTAAAAATGATAAAAACCAAACAGCCTAAAGTATTTTTACTGTCTTTATTTTACAGTTAAAATATATGTTTATCAAATAAAGTCTAATGGTACAACTAAACATGGATCCCTTTAAGGTAGACTGACCCTATATTACAACATGTAGAAGATCCCATGTTCATTAGTTAGCTAGTACACAACCTATTGTTTATTTACAACTGCTAAACACAGGTGTTTGTCACAGGAATTCAACCATAACGTTTGTCTAATATGTCAGAGTTATTGTCGAGAGGAGGTTATCTCCTCTCAGTCGTGACAAAGTGCACAACGGCAGGTTTTTTGCACCCACGTTAAATAATGCAGTGGCTACTTTAAATAACCTGAAACTTAACACACACTATCTAGTTGACRACAAAGTCCAAGAGCAAGATGTTATGTGTGACGTCTGTTTTTATTTGGGGAATCGTTTTTTCCACATTTTGAAGGTGATTTGTAGTCGAGTTGGAAAAGCAAAATGTGAAAGACTTGGGTGATTTTATAGAAAATATGGCTTTTACTTCTAATAACTTGTTATAAGTGTTTAATTTATGAATATGTTTATCCTTACAYGAATTTCACAGACTTTTAGTTTCACAAGTTGTGAATTTAAGTTTTAGTATACGTGTAAAGTTTTGGTCCTTTTTCAGGTGTGGGAGGGGCGCTGGAGGGTCATTCCTTTTCATGTCCTGCCAGATTGGCTGAAGGACAATGATTACCTCCTGCATGGACATCGACCTCCTATGCCCTCCTTCAGGGCCTGCTTTGGAAGCATCTTCAGAATTCACACTGAGACCGGCAACATCTGGACTCATCTGTTAGGTGAGCATGGAAATAATCATGTTTACAAGTTAATATACTTTTAATTTCATCTTTATTTTCTTCTTCCTCATTTATCCTCATTGCTGTTTTTGATCAGCTGAATTTCTGGAAGGTGTTGAAGTTGTTTTTGTTTTTCTCAGGGTGGATCTTATTCGTCTGTTTGGGCATTTTAACCATGTTGCGCCCCAACATGTATTTTATGGCACCGCTGCAGGAGAAAGTTGTGTTTGGGATGTTCTTCCTGGGAGCTGTCCTCTGCCTCAGCTTCTCCTGGCTCTTTCATACCGTCTACTGCCACTCAGAAAAAGTGTCTCGCACGTTCTCCAAGTAAGTGATACTGTCTAAAAATCATTTGTCACTAATAATGTTTTAAAACTGGACATTTAATTCAGACTTTCCTCAATGAGTGTAAGACTACAGGGCAAAACAATAAATGTTTGTTTGTTTGTTTTTGGTGAGTATAAGATCAGCATTAGTGTTTTAATTACTATCCAATCTTTTTGTGTTGAGTGCACTTTTAAAAGAAACAGCACATTTTGTCCTTTGTAAGCACTCTAACATTAAGGGTTTAAGTTTTTGAACGGCACTTGTGAGGCAGAATGAAGCACCTGAACAGAAAACATCACTTTATTTATTTATTTATTTATTTATTTATTTATTTATTTATTTATTGTCGACCAGTGGCTGCAGGTGACATTGATATGTTCATCTTTATTTAACGGTGACTGCCTCTGAAAAGCCGATCAGGGCTCTGTTGATGCACATGTGGTTGTGTTCAAACTAGAATTCATGTCTGTTGTGACAAAGCTTTTCATACATGTGTGTTTAATTAGTCTGCAGTCCTCCTACTTTCTGCTGATTCATGGTTAGTTCCTCAACAAAGCAGCAGTTTGAGTTGTTTTTCTGCCCCATCAGGTTTGTTTGGTTTTTATCTGATATATATATATTTATATACAGCGGGTAAAATAAGTATTGAACACGTCACCATTTTTCTCAGTAAATATATTACTAGAGGTGCTAATGAC